GAGGGGGAAGGGAGGACGAGGGGGAGGACGAGGAGGAAGAGGAGGAAGAGGATGAAGAGGAGGAAGAGGAGGAAGAGGAGGAATTGTGGAGAGCCGCCAAGGGCGCGGAGCCGGACAGCAACGACGATGTGGCGCCGCGGAGGAGAACGAGGTGAGAAAGAGAGGGTTGAGGAGTGGGAGGAGGGAGGACGACGAGGAGGGAGAGAAGAACAGGAGTAAGCCGTAGCAGCACCAGCAGGAGGGGAAGGAGGGAGGAGAAGAGAGGAAGAGGAGAGGAGAAATAAGCAGAACAAGCCTGTGAGGAGAAGACAAGAGCACGCAGGAACTATTCCCACCCTCTTCCCCCGAACATAACGCACCCTGATAGTCAATGTATACAAGCTATCTGTCATGTCAGATAGAATCATGATGGGGGTGCGTTGTGTTCGGTGGAAGACGGTATCCACTCTCCAGGGGTTAGGAGAAGGCGATGATAGAGAATTTGAAATGGTCAGATGCGGTTGCTGCTCACACCGCGCGCTGCTGGCGCGCGGAAGCTCCATCGCCCCGACCCCGCAGAGCCAAGGTGAGAACCAAGGGGCAGCCACGTGGCAGCCCCTGGCACACCTGGGGAATGTCAGGGCAGAGGGATGACATAGCTCCCCCTGGCAGAAGCTTTTAACCCTGGTGCCAGGGGGGTGTCACTGACAGCAGCATCTCACCGTGGTAATAGGGGGGTGCCACCTGGGAGTAGCTTCTACCCCGGTGCAAGGGGAGTGCCAGGTGGAGGGGACAAGCGGCAGGGGGAGGGGGGGGGGGGGGGGGGGGGGGGGGGGGGGGGGGGGGGGGGGGGGGGGGGGGGGGGGGGGGGGCAGGTAAAGCGGCGAGTTCCATCACTTCCATTACTCCTCCTGGAAGCAGCTTCTCATCCTGGTGCCAGGGGGGTGCCACCTGGCAGCAACATCTCACGCTGGTGCAAGGGGGGGCTAAGGGAAGCAATGAGTTCCATCTCCCGGCCCCCTGGCAGCAAGTTCGTCATACTGGTGCCAGCGGGGTGCCAGAATGAGCGATGAGCTCTCTCGATCACCCCACTACCAACCCACCCCCTTTCGCCGCTCCTCACCCTTCCAGCAGGCCCACAACTGATGGAGCCAGGAGTCTGCCGACAATGGTAAGAAGCTGCCTCCTCACCCTTCCAGTATGGAGGAGGAGGGAGGAAGAGCGAACAGAGAACCTCCAAAGCGGTGGTCGCACCGGTTATACAATAATAGTAATAACAAGGCACTGCTTATAGTATTCCATCCATTGCCCCTCTCCTCCTCTCACGCCACTGACGCTGGCCGCGAGAGGCCCCTCGCTTCAACCCGCCGCTTGCCACACAAACAGCGTAAGACGAGGCCACGTGGCACATCAGCCCCCGCTTTCTGCGACAAGGGGTGTACAGTTGGGAGGTGATAGGATACCACCAGAGACGGGATATGATGACGGGATCCGGACACATTGGCGGGCGCCCACGTCGACGACCAGGACGCCGCCCTCAAGAGTTGGCGACCGGCAGATCGTTCCCCGCAAAACCTTCCACGCCGACCAGCGGCCCCCTCAACGGTCGGCGATCGACGTAGGTCGGTCGGCGATCAACGCAGGTCGGCGCTCAGCAAGCCCCAGCAAAACCCTTCGCTACACCCTCTCTCGACTTATTGGGGTATTGCCGAGACCGAGACAGAGAGCAAGGCGCTCTAAGAAAAACCGTCCGCCCTGCCATCCGGCGATCCAGAGAGAGGATCGTTGAGAAGGGGGCGGTGACAACGGAAGCCCGAAGAAGAGCAAGAGGAGGAAGAAGAGGAGGTGGAAGCGAGAGCAAGCGGGGAGGAGAGAACGAGTACGAGCAGTACAAGGAAGGTACAGGTGTCGAGCACAGAGAGCACACGGCAGGAAGAAGACAGGATAGGGAAAAAACACCACAGGAGCTAGAGAGAGGGGGTGGAGAGAAAACAAGACGGGAGGGGGGGAGGGGGGAGAAGAAGCACCTCCCCAGCCAAATGCCTGGTAGCCATTTGCCCACAGGAAAGGAGGGGAAGGCACCATAGAAGAAGAAAAAGGTTGAGAGAGGTCCGGAGGAGGAGAAGTAGGGGAACAGAGAAGTAGGAGAAGTAGGGGAAGAGAGAAGTAGGAGAAGTAGGGGAAGAGAAAACTACGAGAACTAGGGGAAGAGAGAAGTAGGGGAAGAGAGAAGTAGGAGGAGGAGGAGGATTGCGGACGGGACGAGGAAGAAAAGTCGAAGAGGACGACTGCTACTCGTCTTCTCCGAACACAACGCACCCCGATCACGAACGTAGACAAGCTATCTTTCCAATTGGACACAATCATGACGAGGGTGTGTTGTGTTCGGGGGAAAGACGGGTAGAGCCGGTAATAACCCTGGCGGCAGCCATGACGATGTGCGACAACCATGGAAATCAGAGCCGCGCACTGCCCCTCACTGTACAGCCCACCCTCCCTCCCCTCAATTCAGGCCCCCAACCCCCATAATCTTCGCACACCCAAACATGGCGGCAGCATGCTATCTCCTCCTCTCCTTTCTCGAACCTCCTCCTCCCTCACTGTTCAGCCCCCCCCTCCCTCCTCTCCATTCAGCCCCCCAACCCCCCCATAATCTGCACGTACCCAAATATGGCGGCAGCAAGCTATCTCCTCCCTCCCCTTTCTCAATCCTCCTCCTCCTTCCCTTTTCAATCCTCCTCTTGCTCCTCCCGCTCCTCCTCGCCCCCCTCCTCCTCCTCCTCCTCCCCCTCCTCCTCGCCCCCTTCCTCCTCCTCCATGACTACCCATCTGCCTCTTGACGTGTCATCCTCGCTTTGTCTCCTGTACGTGCTATCCGAATCTTCCCCGTTTACTTTCCCGCATTCTTGTCCTTACTCCCCGTATCGTTCCATTATTACCATACTCCATTATTATAATCCAGCTTCGCCCAATCTTGTCGGTCATTAACACTGACATACCGTGAAGAAAGAGGATCGTCGAGAGGAGGCGGCGGCAAGGATACGAGAGAATGATGAGGCAAAGGGCAGAAGGCAGGAACGAAGAAGAAGAGGAGGAGAAGAAGGTACAAAGACAGTAGTAGTCTGTAGGGCCCTCGGAGGACGATGATGATAGAGTGGAAGACGAGGAGGACAACAAAGAGGTAGAATAGGAAGAGACGGGCGGGAGGGGAGGGGAGAGGAGAGGAGAGGAGAAATGAAGAAGGGCAACAGGAGATGAGGAGTGTGGGAGCTCACCCGTACTATGATGACTCTGCACTCAGCCCCTCGTGTCGAAGTAAGCGGCGGAAGTAAGGCAAAAACTAAGGGAGAAGCAGAAATCGACCGAGGCATCGAACTGCGGCTGATACCGCCGGCAGAGACGAACCCTGCCTGTCTGACAACCGCGCAGATGAGAACCAGGCACCGTCGCTGGCTGCCCGTGTGGCCCCTTCGCCCGAACCCGCTACTTCTACAGCACACGGGAACATTGGAACACGAGGACACGAGGCTTTATACCATCTGTCTGTCGGTGTGTGAAAATGTTTTTTTCAAAAGGAAAAAAAACGAAAAAAAGAAGAAAAGGAAGAAAAGGAAGAAAAGAAACGAAACCCCGAAACGGCAAAGGGCACCCACATCGACCACTTCCTTTCAACGACTCACGACCGGCAGAAGGTCACCCTAGCTTGCCCCTGGTTGCCCCCAGTTGCCCCCCGTTGCCCCCAGTTGGCCCTCGTTGCCCTGGCGGGGCGGCCCGGAGAAAACTGACCCTACCCGTAGCCCCCCTATCCAAGACCGTTTTGGAAACTGGACTGGACAGTTCGCAGCTGCGCTTTATCCCGTTGGTGTGTCGAACGATTTGGGGTTGGAGAGGGGTTGTTTGGGGGTTGGGGGGTCGCCTGAGACGCCAGGGAAGAGTGCAGGTCTGGTCCACCCCCCCTGATGGTTGCCATAGAGTCTTAGAAGCAGAGGACAACGCAGAAATTGACAGAAATTGACTCGCCCTGCTAACCGGCCACCCCCCCACCCTACGACCCAAGCTTCATTTCCTGATTTTCCCAAAGGAAAAGTATGTTGAGGGGCACCTGTACTTGGCCCAGCTATCCATGTCGAGCCTGGAATGCCCCTGCGCACCGATTTTCGCCGAAGCGCCGGGGTACCGTTTCAAAATTGTTTTGGCTGGCCCTTCCAGCCATTGAGGTCCGCTACCCCGACGCCCTAAAGGCGCGGGGAAAGCGCCATGGCCGATAGTTGGGCCAAGTACTGGTGGTTTAAATTGGTTCTGTGATGTAAATTTTTATCCTGTCCAACCTGACATCCTTTCGTTTTAATTGCCCCAGCCCCACGGCCAGGGCCTATACTAATTTATCCATCCCCGAACGTCTTGACGAATTGAAGTGGTAAAAATTAACTCATGCGTACACTGTCAATTCCACTCCCCGCTAGAAAAACAATTACGCGCCACTGGATCTCTCTCTCTCTCTCTCTCTCTCTCTCTCTCTCTCTCTCTCTCTCTCTCTCTCTCT